CCTCCAAAAAACTTCCAAACATATCCCCTTGACAGCCGACATAAAAAACGCAGGCTAAAAACCGACAAAAATAGTGATCGCACTGAATCGTTCTCGTATCCTTTATGCAAAGATCCTGGCTGTTACTGCGCCTTCTGGACTTCAGGACTACCTGACAGATACTCTAAAAACCGATAATTTACTYTTAAATTAATCACAAGCCAGGTTGCTGAGGCCGAAACGGAAATCTAAGAAGCTGCACGAYACAAACTGCAGACAATGCGAAAAAAATGTGCAAAACAAGACAAAAAAAACAGAACACCAAAWGGCAAGTCTAAAGGCTATATGATTTTTCGAAAAGTCAAAAACGTCACTTTCCCGATTATCTGTGCCTCCCGTATCTTCACACCCGGGGCAAGAACCTGTCAAGTCCGGGGTATTCGGTGGGGAGGTAATCCCCCCACAGACCACCGGACAGCCTGGCGAATTTTGCGAGGGCTCCCACAGAGAGAGAGAGAGAGAGAGAGAGAGAGAGAGAGAGAGAGAGAGAGAGAGAGAGAGAGAGAGAGAGAGAGAGCGATCACCTGCAGCATCACTTGCTACAGTGCTGCAGCAAGCAGTTCCGCAACAGCTGTTACTGCAGGTGCTGCAGCAGCAGTTCCAGTAGTGACTGCTGCAGTGCCTGTGGCGGTTCCAACAGCGTCTGTTGTAAACACTCCTACAGGCAATGCTGGGCGTGGGCCTCCACTCCAGGCCCAGGAATCTGATGTGGTCCAAATTTTTGGAGTGTGGTTCAGACTGAATTCTGGGCCTGGGCCTTTCCAAAATTAAAAAAAAAAGGTCTGTGCCTGCTGCTGGCACCGTGTCCTGGGGGTGTCCTTTAGCCCCACACTAGGGACAGTCAAACAATCAGAAGGGGAAGCAGCTAGCGTATCTGTGAGTAGTTCTGGTGGGCTATCTCAGGCTGAAGAGGTACTCCCCTTGCACATCTTACATTTTGTATATGAGTTCTGTGAATGGGACGATGGATCTAATTTTCCGCAGGTGTAGCTCCCTGCCAATAGATGGAGCCTTCCTGGATCAGTTGCAGGTGGCTGCTCTTACCACCACCTTAAGCTTCCTCCTGCGCCGTTTTTTTTTTTCTTTTTCTTGTTTTTTGAAACAACAGGGCCTTATGGTCCTGGCTCCTTTTATTCTGGGGAGCGCCAGTCCGGTTCCTATTCCACCGGCAAGTCAAATTATTAAAAAAAAACAATTATCAATCACACACGCTTCCTTCCGTCTGGCCGAAGGACCCCTGAGCAGCATTGATTGCTCCACCCCGGGAGGATTGACTGCCAGCTTGCCTTGTCCCTCTCTTTCCTCTCAGATCCGGAATCCAGATCTGTCAGATGAAGCATTTGACCCTAGAAAGATCCCGACTGTTGTCCTTGTCCACCTGGTTCTTCCCTTTACGTCACTATTGCCCCCCTTCGGACAGTGAACCGCATATCTTTGGAACCAACACCCTCGGTCTGCAATATTGTTGTCCGGTCGTCAAAATTGGACCCTAGCAGGGAGCTCATTAGCTTCCGGCTCTCTGAGAAGGGACCACCCTATTGTGGCCCCATTTGTGTCTTCCTTGTTTCACGTCATCTGTACCCCCTGGATTATGTTTATCCTCTTGCAGCCTAAGACGTGGTTAAGTCTTCCCGCGGCGTCTGATGTTGGAAGTCCCTTTTTGGAATTGAATTATGCC